TAATTGTTGTCATTCCATCTAATGATTTAATTGTATCAAGATAAATTGTATTATTGTTAAAATATCTTGTTGTTAAAATATTATTTTTATTTAAATATTTTGAACCAATTGCTTCCATTTAATAATGTAAATTAAGTTCTAAGATAAAATATTCATCCCAAATTCCAAGTGGCATAATGATATTTCCTTTATAATCTTTAAACCATATTTCTATTGAAGTTATATTTTTATTAATATTAAAATGTTTTGGTGTCATATTTCCATATGTTGAAAAACATATCATTTGATCATTTTCAGGTGAATCATAATTAAATGAACCATGACAACTAACACCAATATCTAATTGACCATTCAAATTAAAATAAACAAAATTCAATACTTCTATTGTTTTAGGATAATTTTCAGAAGTAATAAATTCCCATGGTAAATTCACTTTCCATTTCCCTGTTGTTATATTTGGAGATGTATTTTCTCTTGTGATTGTTAAATATCTTTGATTATTTAATGAAGACATCTTGAACTAATTATTATTAGATGAATACCAAACGACCAAAACATCCTAAAAGTATTGATTCACAAGAAAGACAAAAACGTATTTTTGATGAATCGTTTTTTGATATTATTCCTGATAGTGAAGAATATGGTTATGATTCAAATACACTGAATCAACAAATAAATAAATTAACACATCAACAAAATACAACACAATATAGGAGTATGGAGGAAGAGAATACTAATAATATCAAAACTAGACAATATATCAAAATATTTCTGAAACATTCATCAAATTTAAACAATTCACCAAAATATAAAAATTTAATTTATGTAAATATTCCATCAGGAATAACTGATTATAAACATGGTGATATGTTTTCTAAAATTACTAAGGAATTAGAAACATACACTGGAGAGAAAAATAAAGCAAAAATTGCAGCATTAAAAAAAGCACTTGGAAATTATCCAACAATATTGGGAACGATTGAACCTTCTATTGATGATTTAAACACAAAAATTATGAATGGATTAAATGAATTTTCAAAATTAACAAATATGAAAGGAAATGGATTATTTTATTTAATAGATCCTAAGGGAGGAGTTAATACTATTGACCTTCTTATTTCAAATATAATTATTACAATACAAAGAAGAATAATTATGATGGATGGTAAAGAAAATGCAAAAGATGATAAATTTAAAGTTGAAGAATATTATGGAAAACCTGGAAAAAAGTTCAAAAAGAGTTTACTATTGGACTTAAAGATTCAATTGATGATTTAAGTGGAATTGGTAAAACAAAGAAAGCAACGAAGGAAAAGATACAAAAAGAAAATGTATTCGAACTTCATTCATTTATTTTAGTAATAAC